GTTAGCGAGGCAATATGCGGCGAGAGTGGACAGCCGATCCACAGTTTGTCGAAACGCTTGGAGCGATGGGCCGAACATCTTACAAGGCGGTTTAACTAATCTGGCATTGAGTGCTCTTCTCCATGGACCGTTTCCTTAGATCCGCCCTCACGCGCAGAAGTCGAACGTGAAATCAGACTGTTGAAATTGCATAAGGCCGCTGGTGCAGACAGAATTCCCCCCAGCTCTACAAATTCGGGGGACCTGCTGTTTCAGATCACGAGTTGCTAATGGAACTTTGGGAGCAGGAAACTGTCCCGACAGACTAGAGCCGCTCCGTCATTGTCCCAATTTTCAAAGGAAACTCCCGTTTGGAATGCGGCAATCATAGAGGGATCAATCTGATCTCAATTGCCCCTGTCGTTTTCCACAGACTGATGGCGCTCGTGAAGGCCAGATCCGCGAAGAGCAAACCGGGTTTCGTCGAAATTGAGGCTGCATCAAACACATCTTCACTTTGCGTCAATTGTTGGAGCACCGCCATGTTTATTGGCGAACCACCGTTGTCGTGTTTTTCGACAGCAAAGGTGCCTTCGATTCGGTGGATCGATGTGCCCTTTAGGACTGTCTGCTGAGAAAAGGTGCCCGATAAATATGTCAACATTATCAAAACGCTGTACATGCATAGTTCGGGCAGAGTAAGAGTTTATGGCAAACTGTCGCCGCCCTTCAATATATGCAGCGATGTGAGACAAAGCTGCCCACTGTCACCTTTCCTCTTTAACTTCTCTATTGATGAAGTCACGGAAACAGCGTTCGCTGGACACGAGCTAAAGGTGTGGAGCTACTTTCTGATGAACGACTTCTTGACTAGGAGTATGCGGACGATATTGCCCTCATATGTGGCGGCGCCCAAACGTGTCAGACTGTTAATCGTTTTGGGCTATGCTTTGCTCCATCGAAATGCAAAGTACTTCTGCAATATTGGCAGGGACCCACTCCTGCGCTGACCTTTTGTGGTGATCAGCTAGAAGTCGTTCCGAAATTCAAGTGCCTGGGTAGCTATATTAGCGCCCGTAGGATCGAAGCTGAGATTACGAACTGTATGGCAAAAGCTCGAGGTGCTTCTGCCAATCTCCGCCACCCGTGGCGCAGATACGACATCACTATTTCCCTGAAGGATAGAATGTGTAATGCAGCCGTCCGTTCAACCCTCTTATACGGTTGTGAAACCTGGCCCATCAGGTCGACAAACATAAAGAGGCTGGTCACGTCCGATCATCGCTCCCTGTGCAGCTTAACTCATGTCTGGTGGGAGCACCGCGTGAGCAATGAGCTTGTTCGGCGTCGCGTATTTGGTGCAGGAAGAGCGAGTGAACCGCTCAGCATATTATATCACGCACCAGGCTCCGATGGCTGGGACACGTGTTGCGCATGCTAGCACTGTTTGCGCGTCGGGCGTGCAGTTGGAAGAGGAGAGGCCAAGCGATGACTTGGTCGAGAGAGATGAAAACCCTCACTTCGAAGTTGGCGTCGGTTGGTGCATCCCGACTGCCTGACTGGGGTCCTAAGGACGATGAACACGTTTGGTTGGACACGCTGGTATGGCTAAGAGGTGAACCCAATGGCGTTTGTGTTGTGCGTTCCGTCGTCCATCCCCCTCCAATAACGATCTCACTCGTTAGGCATAATAAAACTTTTTGCGGCACGATAGCCGGCTGTTAACTCTCCGGAACGATGTCCATCCGTTACTGAAGACTCAGTCGGCGTGCTTCTCTTGTTCTTGTCCTTTGTATTGCGGCACAATAGCTGAAGTGTATTCCACCTGCAGCTAACGTGTATAATGATGATGACTGACTACGCCATGACTGAAAGCGTGTCACACCAACCCGTACTGCGGATACCCAAGATGGACCCAACAATCATACACAGTATAGCAACGTTATTAATGATTAGGGACACCAGTTGTGGGAAGCATGAAGTAGTTTACAGAAGTCGATTGGGCTTGATTAGACGGGTACCTGCCCTGCAAAATGCATAAGGAAGTTACGCAGTCCAACAAAGTGAGTTAGGTCGCGTATAGTCGCGATGTGGCGTAGGCATCGCCCACGCATAAAACAAACCTCCTGCTGTCCATCACAACCTACTTGACCACTTCTTAGGCTATCGGCGAATTGGGAAAGCGTGTCGGCGCAAATAAAGTGGGTAGCCAGGTTCTGCAGACACCTGTAAGCGTCAACGTGCATAGTGATCATTTTTTAGATAAGACGGATCAGAAGTGGGAACAACAAGGACAAGAGTTTAATGTGAGATAGATTTCATGATCAGAGAGAATGGGGGAACGTGCATTGAATATTTGCAACTTGGCAATGAAAGTGCCTTCTGATAACAATCGAAGGCCACCCACCAGCTAAAGTATAGGGCAACGAATTGTGCCACACGTTAAAACCAGTGGTACTTGACCCTAGTAGTTCAATCTGCAAGCCACGTTGGACGGACTCGCACGCGCAGTGTCGTTAGTGAAAGGTGATATCGAACGCTCAGTTCAATTGAACAACTGTGATCCAGGTAACGAAGAGCGGTGGATCCAGTTTCAGCAACTCACATCGACAGTATGGTGATAAATAATAACAACGAGAAAATGAGGTTAAATGCAAATAAAACCGAAGCAAAGAAGTGCATCGAACTAATCAGGATGTAATGAAAATTATCAGCTAAATGCAAGAAACTGAATTCAGGGATGGCACTGACTTTGCCATGTCTGAAAGGGTCTCCAACCATTGGACCATCCCGGGGTCCTCATCCACGAAGACGACATGTACCAGCCTGGCCAAGTCAATTTCTTCATGACACTATGCCACGTCATGGACTGGCCGCGTCGCGGTTTCACCCAACTTGGTGCAACTAAGGCGTATAATGCACGCCGAGGAAGCCGGTCAACGGACATACCAAGCTAATGTAAACGGTTAAGATTCAGAAAACGCTTAGGCGAGGCAGCAGGTTTCTTGCCAAAAAGCAACTAGCGGAACTCAGCACTGCTCATCCGGGGTTCCCACCAGGCGTGAATAATACTGCGTAAGCACAGGTGGTCAAATACAACTAAGCGTTTGATTTCTTCACTACGAACTGGCCAGAGCTCTAGCTCTGATCTCTCCAGTGACAGTGACCTGATCAGTGCTTCAGAAATCAGTTAACAACCCGGGCCTCTTTAGTTGAAAAGAGCAGTCGGCTTCGGACGCTGTCTTTATGGCGCAATTTCAATTAGCACTCGGTTTATCCACTTCGCTAGTTAATAACACCTGATGATCCAGCTCGTCTTGATAGTGCTGAATTTCGAACTGAGGCTACGGAATGAATGGAGAACCCCGAAGTCGTTGATACGACGCGGGCGCGCATTGAAACGCGATCAGAACCCGAATATGCATTCCAGATAGACCGGTAACGCGCGCCATCTACAGCTGATGCTAAAATGTCAGACAGAGTAAAGTAATGCGAATTTTTATGTTGAAAAGCGGTGGTGTGGACACAGGTCATGGCCAGCATATAGTTGCTGGAACAGACTACCAATATTCTTTCCGCAGACATCGATTTCCAAAAGACCCCCAAACACTGTCAGAAACGTGTTAAGCATCCACGTTACCACCAACTATCACCATATTCGCATTCTGGGCTATACAGACAACGGGGCATACATCGAAATAATGAAAGGCACCACGTCTTCAGACGATGCGTGCTAATCGCTGCAGACGCTCGACTGTTCAGTAAAGTACATTATTACGGATTGAAATAGGAAATTCCCATTATCATTCCAAACGGAAAAATCAGAGGACGTAAACTGTGAGGTGATTTAGTCATTTCATGCAAGCTCGTCAGTCACAAATCATGCAAAAATTATGGATACACAAAACGCGGTCATATGAGATCAATAGGTAGCTAAAGGTTGGCTAAGCGTCACGCCTAAGACTACCACGGCAGGTAGATTCAGTCAGTTGTTTCTGCGCACAAAACAGCGGCTGCTCTCGATCAGTGACAGTCTGAGAATGTAGGGCCGCTGATTGTGCATCAAAACGGTGAATGAGTTATCGGGATTGACTCGGTGACCGGTGCTAAACAAGCGCCTTGTGATTGCCGATGCAGCTCGAGTTCACAACTCAGTTGATTCCGTTGAGAAATCGAGCTGCCTCGTTTGGCTACCTATGATCTCATACGACCGAATTTTGTATATGCATGATCTTTGCTTGATTGGTGACTGACGAACTTGCACGAAATGACTCAGTCATCTCACAGTTTACGTTCTCTGATTTCTCTGGAATACGGATTGACACCAGCAAAAGTACTGCTCATATCAATAGTGCAAACACTGCGACCCGTCAAATCAGTGTCGCCAGAGGTGAGAAAATATCGTAGTGGTCAGCAGAATCTAGTTCGGGCGGCCAGAAGCACATTACAATGCTATCTGGCAAACGATAGAAAAAGGCAAACTTTCATATAGCCTATATACATGAGATCGCTGGTCTTACGAGTGATCTAGGTATATACCCTTAACATCTGCTACGAAATTGCTGACAACACTAATAACCCAGGAAAAAAGGGTTCAGAGAAAGCATTGAAGGTAGGTTTCCACGATAAAAAGAAACCTTAGGATTGCTGAGTGATTTTGGTCGACGTTTCGTAGCCATAAACTATAATCCGGTGAGCTGATCCATAGGACTACGTGGCAAACTGGGGCTAGTTTAGGTAGATCCACTAAAATTAAAATAATGGTATGATCCACGAGACAACAGGAAACAAATCCAGCCAGAGGGCGAGTGTAGAGCCATGTGGGGGTTGCTTTGAGGTTGGCAACGTATGGTATCGACAATTCATGCAGTCTTTCGACTGCGGTGTACGACGGCGCTGCAGACCTAGATGACTACAATCAGGTTCGAGCCTTACTAAGCGTGGATTATCTAGCTAAGGGCAGTTCGCAGCAATCAGTGAACAACATCTGCGCTTCTCCACCATAAGAATAAGTTGAGACCCTCGTGTTGTGTGACAGTATGAATCAACAGCGCGAAGTGTTGATAATACCAAACGTCAATGGCTACAGAATCAGATGGGACGACGTGCGGGCGAGTGAATGAACGACGGAAATCTTTATCATCCGATCCTTTCTTCACTGGACACATTTCGAGTAGGCGGCGCAGAAAGTGCCAGTGATAGTTTCCAACTAAAAAGGTTCTCGAATTGCAACTGAAGTCAGTTACGAGTTGTAGCTCCAGTAAGCAAACTCTGGCCAGTGGTGATAACAAAAGTAAATGAATGCCGGGGCGAATGTTCGTTTGAGTCTGTCCATAATAGATTCAAGGTCATAAAAAAACGAGGCATCTACAGGGAGCTCTGTATGTCGCCAGTCAATGAGGAATGTATACTCGGTCACGAGGCTCAAAAATGGTGGGAAAAATAGCGTGTGGCAAATAACATTGCGCTATCCAATTAAACGCGAAACTTGCAAGTAAAACCATAGCACTTGGATGCACTGTAAGGAGACATTCGGCACCGCCTGATAAGGCGGCAATGGTCTCGCGGCAGAAGTTCACGAGCTGAACGAGGCGTACTGTGGTAGGAAATAAAAATATGCCGGCCAGTAAGACAGTCAGATATGAGCCTATCGCAGGGAGGACAAAATGAAGTGATAAACCGATAAGGATACGTGGTGGGACAGGAGACAACATCCTCAGAAGCGAATCCTCCGTTCATGTAGAACACGTAGGTGCAGCCATCCGCCGGCTTTCCAGCGATAGTGTAACAGCCCAATTGCACATGTGATGACCGGAATCCACGGTTTTCGTAAAAGTGCCGAGCAGCGTAATTAGTGCGCAGTACATGTAGATAGATAGCGCAGCAGCTTGGTGGGAATGGAGGCAGCATATTGAGCACGTCTACGAGAGAGCGGTACGACTTGTTGTAATGGTAAGGGCGGTCCCTCGGGCTGAACATGACCTAGATGGACAGTGAGTAGAAACCACAATGAACAATCTTGACATTTGACAACAGCATACTTAAACATGGATGAGAGTAAGCGTATGCATGTATACAAGTGATGCTCAACCTACGACACATTGGCCGCATCCGGTCCATTCCATTCGGCCTGCAGAGATTCGACTAACCTCGTATACATACGTGAAGAAAAAGCATAAAGTTCATTCGTTTTTCCCTCAATAAACTCACTTTAGAATTAATACCTAGATTACCATCAATCATGATAGGCGCAATAAGTGCAGTGTATTCGTTGCATATACTCGTGTAAAATTGTAAGAAGGAAGCCCGATTTCATTCAAGGGCTTTTTGAGCGCGTTGAATGGTTTTATCGAACATCATGAGTTATCAAAAGAAACGAAAAGTGGACTCAATACAGTACAAATATTTATCGTAAATTACTGAATATAAGCCCGTTCATGGATGGATCTACAGTATATTAAATTTGTCCGAATTCTTAAATCTGTATATTAGCTGACCCTCAAAAAATCAGCAATAAGAGAAACAAAATTGTTTCTCCACGATTGACATCATCACTACATACTCTCAGTTGAATATGTTCAAGCGAAATCTGCTCTACTATTGGTCAATTGTGGTGACCGTAATGTGTAATCGCTTTTGATTCGTTACCCGAAATAGCGCTAACGTGACGTCACATGATCCAGCTGGGAGAGAATGTGCCTTCGTCTCGTACGATCTTCCAAACCCATGGAAACATGAAAAGATGTCTCAACAGACAATGTGTATATGCTGTTGGCTTTAAATCGAAAGACTTTTCCCATGTTATTGTGTAAAACAGTTATTGATTCGCCATATTCTAGTATGTTTCTGTTATTGCCATCCGTCGCGAAAGTCAAATGTGGAATATGCTGATAATTTTCGCCACAAAAATAACGTCTAGTTATAGGCACACTGCACACCGTGCTGAGTAGGCACCGTACCAAATAATAAGGTATTTCAAATTCCCGTCTAGAGTACAGTTTGTGCTAAGGGGAGATAGGGGCATAATAATAATAATAATAATAATAATAATAATAATAATAACAATAATAATAATGTGTCAGCTGTACGCCGTAACGGCGTTTCGCTGCCGCGCAACCACTACCAATCGCGCGCGGGCTGAGTATACCGCGAGGACGCCCATCCCTACGCGGATTCGAAGCGGTAACCTTATGGTTGCAAAGCAAACGTGCAGACCACTCGGCCACCGACCGACAGATAGGGGCAGAGGCGTGCAGTGTATTTCTGGGTGGATTTTGTGTATGACTTCTTGCGAATTGCGTACAACCTTTTTATAAGCCGACCCCCCTCTACAGAAATGAAAAATTGCCCAAAAATTATCGGCTTATTCTGCAACATACGGTACTTATTGTTCAAGGGTTCTTCAGACTGAAGTATAACATTGAAATTTTCATGACAGAGAAATCAACAACAAACCCTGAATGGTTATGGGATCTAGTAACTTTGTGTGGTCTGACTGCTCACCTGAATGATCTCAATACCAGACAACAGGGCAAGGGCGAATTGATTTCTCCAATCTGCGGTGATGTAAAATCGTTCGAAATGAAATTGCAGCTCTTCATTCCGCATGCAGTGAAAGATACCATTAATGGGTTTTCCTAGTTGTTCATAACCAGTCAGCCGGTGTGCCCTTTCCAACAAGCCGCATGCTTGAGATGCAGTTTCCAGACTTCCAAAATATCAATGAGGAAATATGATTGCTTGAAAAACTTTGGTACTGATGCTTCGACTGTGCTACATAGCTTAGAATAGGAACTGATTGAGCTAAAGTGCTTAGCAAACTTGCAGAACCTGTATTGTGAAAAGTCCCTGCTTGATTTTTATTCACTTTCCCCTTTGGATGTGTTCGAATATTCGCCACTTCGCCATAAATATGGCAAGCACATACTTCTGAAAACAAATATTTTCAACAATGTTCAAGTCATACAGCCGTTCACAGATTAAAGATCGGCATTTACACGAACCCTTACGAATGAGTGTGTCATGTTGAACCGATCATGAAGAAGCTCGTGTGTGAAATGCAGGCGAAATCGTCACATTGAATGTTACTGATTTGGGACTAACGAAAATATGTGACTGTGAGTCCATCAAGACACTTTTCATTCTATCACGAACCTTTATTTTCTCAATAATTTCCATCCCATGGGACTTTTTAAGCACTGCTTTTTACCCGTAACATAACATTGTTTCGTTAACAATTTTAATCCACGTAAGCGGGCTAGTGTGCCGAAGAGCGATGAATCCAGTTGAAATAACAAAAGCTGTTGCGATGATACCGCGCGTTGCTTTCATCATTTGCTTCAAACTAAGTCGGTCGCATCCTGTTATTTTCTGTAGTGCCGAAGTGACAATGCGGAAAGCATGTATCTGTCAGTTTCTTCTCCTCGCGACACAGACTGCTAAAAGTAACTACTTCATGTTTCCCAACCGACGACGAATTACGTTTAATTATGTAAGGTAGCTCCGCCATGTAATCAGCCTAGGATACGGAACTGCACAGTCCTACTGCATAACGATACTATCCCAATGGATGTAAAATATTTTGCGTGAATAAAAACCCAAAAAGATCTCAGCGCTGTCCAAGACGCGTTTCACAAACTCATTTGAGAATGGTTCAAAACAGACCCACAGATTAATCAAAAGCACACGCGCCTTATACCCACCACAAACAATGTGCCGCCATGGCGTCTACGGCCGTGTGAACAACGAATGGAGAAATAATGCGAAAATATCGCTGGTAGACAACCGAGATAAACCTACTTCTCGTGACTCCATTAGGTACACCATTTCTGCCAATCGTTACATTTGGTGTCACACACACTACCGCTCGAAACACAAACGTAATCTATCTAAGGAAGCTAAAACGTACACTCAAAGTTTAGCTGGTCTAAAAACTAGGTATACCGGGATAGTGACAAAGGACAAAACGTGTGCGTTGACAGCAGGTACAGGCATATGTGATGCGGAGGCAAAAGACAAAGAATGCGGAGATATTAAGACAAGAGCGACAAGCTGCATTCATGAGTAAGACGAAATATGTACAGCTTATGTGTGCCCAAGGTTGAGACAAAGCAGGCTGAACGCACCAAAACGATAGAAGACACAGAAAGAAAAAAGCAAAGCAGGTGATCCATCAAAATAGTCAGCGGAATCGAAGAAAAACACAGAAGTCAAAGGGAGATGTTGCATACAACTGTCATTAAATGGTTGCTTTCATCAAACACATGCCATTTTTCATTAAATACTTGTACGCAAGCTATTTTGAGCACAGTAATTTCAACAAATTCGGTTAAGCGGCATATCTGCAAGCGTTTTGAGTTATGGGCATTCATCCTACTTGGGTCCTAGAGCAGAAAAGTGGACGGAGCCAACGGTAGCTGAATTGAAAGTCAACGATAACTTGTGCCGTTGCAAAGCGGAAGGTTGACCAACACGTGGTCTCTTCCATAAAAGTCCTGTGTGATCAAATAGAACAAGATTTTTAAAAATGTTTGCATAACATGAGTGGGATTTGATCAATACCATGAATCTTACCTCAAACAAATTGCTGATGCTCTGGCCACCGCAGAGGATAATCAATGGTGCCCTATCTGCTGCATCGAGCAGGGTGGATAGGGGTTTGGATGCTACTGCTCAAGTCTTCCCGTCTTCTTATTCCCCTCTTACGCTTTTTCAGTCTTACAGTCCCGTTCCAACTTCACTTATATCCCCCCAGTTTTCAACCCCCGATTCTCGGCCCTCCCCCAACATGCTTTGCTAGGCATTTATCTTCTAATTTCAACTCACATGTGAACGCGGAGCGTCACTCCTCTCCTGTCGACAAGCCCATGTCCAACCAAGCGGTCCAATCCAGTTCATCGACTTCCATTTGGAGCCCTCGATCCTCCTTCAGATTGGCATGCCTCAATGTACGCACATTACTACAGATCGGTCAACAGACAGCACTTGCCCGAACATTGGAGACCCTCCCGATCGATATCTGCTGCTTATCAGAGACCCGCCTGCAAGACTGGAGCACTGTGCTCACTCTGCTATCCCCTTCAGGTGACGCAGACAGTATTTTCTCAGTGGGCCTATCCGGTGACGATGCAGCTTCGAGCACCGGCCAAGCTGGTGTTGGCAATGCCCTGAGTCCCCGGGCTGAAGCTGCTCTGGTTGATTGGATTCCAATCAGTAGCCGGATGTGTACGGTCCGATTGGCTGGCTCGTTTAAAGCTTCAAAGTCGCGCGGGACTAATAGGTGTCTATTCATCATCGCTGCCTACGCGCCCACAAACTGTAGCGATGATTCGGTAAGGAACGATTTCTACCGCCAACTGACTCAGCTCCTTCGCCACAGAAGAAGGACAGACACTGTTGTGCTGGCGGGGGACATGAACGCACAAGTTGGAAAGTTGTCCACTGATGAAATGCATCTGGGCGGCCAGCACGGTGTAGGCTGCCGTAACGATAACGGTGAGCGGTTACTTCGCTTGTGTGAAGATGCTCGCTTATTTCTTGCGAGCACTAATTTTCGACACAGCACCCGCCGGAGGGTGACTTGGCGCCCACCAGCCTCGAACCAGCCTTGGACGCAGATCGATCACATTGCTATTAGTTACCGCTGGAGATGCTGCATCCAGAACTGTCGCTCGATTTGGAGCACATGTGTGGACACCGATCATGCACTTGTATGTGCTGACATGCGGATGCGTTTTGGCGGACGCCCACGACGACACTGTGAGCGCACTGACACCAGCCAACTGACAAAGCCAGCTGTTCTGAATGCGTATCGAAGTACGCTGATATGTGAGTTGAGTAATCGCTCATTGGAGACAATTGATGGTCAATGGTCACATGTTCGCCAGACCTTACTAGCAGCGGGCAAATCCTCATGTGGTATGTCTAATAGCCAACATGGACATTGGGTCTCTTCTCGGTCTCTGGAATTTATCGACGCTCGCCGGCATATCCCAACTGGAAGCGAGCACAATGAAACTCGCAGAAAGCTCCGGGCAAAACTCCGTGATAGCCTGAAGAGAGACCGCGAATCTTGGTGGTCTCATTGTGTGTCAGAGATGGAAGTGACCGCTGCCCTTGGCAATCATCGTAAGTTATTCCGTCTGATACGGGAAACGGGCAGCAGAAAACCTGGTGTTAGTGAAACAATTTGTGATGAGAGTGGACAACCTATCCACAATTTGTCAAAACGTTTGGAGCGTTGGGCTGAGCATTTTGAAAAGCAATTTAATCGGCTAGAATTGTTCGATTCTTCGCCGGCCAGTGATCGCCTTGCTCCGTGGGCTGTCCCTTTGGATCCACCCTCTTGCTTACAAGTCGAACGTGAGATCGGACTGTTGAAGTTGAACAAAGCCGCGGGACTAGATGGTCTTCCTCCAGCCCTCTTCAAATTCGGAGGCTCTGCTCTTGTTGATGCTTTACATGAATTACTAGTGAAACTGTGGGAGCAGGAGATTGTCCCAACCGACTGGAGCCGCTCTGTTATTGTTCCCGTCTTCAAAGGCGGCTCGCGCTCGGAATGCGGCAACCATGGAGGAATCAGTCTGATTTCCATCGCCTCCATAATGCTTCACAGACTGACTGGCGCTCGTGAAAGCCAGATTCGTGAGGAGCAAGCCGGGTTTCGTCGTGGTCGTGGCTGCATCGACCACATCTTCACCTTGCGTCAGTTGTTGGAGCACCGTCACACATATTGGCGGCCCACCGTAGTCGTGTTCCTCGACATCAAAAGTGCCTTCGATTCGGGTGATCGATGTGCCCTTTGGAATTGTTTACTCAGGAAAAGTGTGCCCGAGAAATATGTAAATATTATCCAAGCATTATATGCGCGCAGCACGGGCAGAGTGAGGGCTTACAGCAACCTGTCGCGACCCTTCAATATCTCCAGCGGTGTGAGACAAGGATGCCCGCTGTCACCTTTCCTATTCAACTTCGCTATTGACTAAGCCATGGAGTTTGCATTTACAGGACATGACTTGGAAGGTGTGGAGCTACTTCCAGGAGAACGACTTCTTGACTTGGAGTATGCAGACGACATTGCCCTCATCTGTGACAGCTCCCGGACGTGCCAAGTCGCGCTGGACAGATTAGCACTGGCTGTCAGCCGCTTCGGGCTTTGCTTTGCACCATCGAATTGCAAAGCGTTCCTCCATGATTGGGAGGGATCGCCTCCTGCGCTGACCCTTGGTGGGGATCAGCTAAAAGTCGTTCGGAAATTCAATTACCTGGGAAGTTGTATCAGCGCCCTTGGGATCGAAGACGAGATCACGAACCGTATAGCGAAAGCTCGAAGTGCTTTTGCTAACCTTCGCCACTTATGGCGGCGGCGCAACATCACTCTCGCCCTGAAGGGTAGGGTGTACAATGCAGCGGTACGTTCGACCCTACTGTACGGTTGCGAAACCCGGCCCCTAATATCGACGGACATGAAGAGGCTAGTTACGTTCGACCATCGGTGCCTTCGCACTTTGGCTCACATCTGGTGGGAACACCGCGTGCGTAACGAGCGTGTTCGACGCATTGTTTACGACCCAGGAAATGGATCTGAACCGCTCAGCACCGTTATTTCCCGCACCAGGCTTCGATGACTCGACCACGTGTTGCGCATGTCAGCCCACCGACTCCCTCGACGTGCGTTGTTTGCTCACTGGGGATGTGGGTGGAAGAGGAGAGGTGGCCAAGCGATGACTTGGTCCAGGGGAATGAAGTCCCTCACTTTGGAGCTAGCCTCGGTTGGAGCGTCAAGGCTCCCTGGTTGGGGTCCAAAAGACGTTGAACACCTTTGGCTGGATACACTTGCTGACATGGCAAGGAGCCGACCTCAGTGGCGTTCATGCTGTGAGTTTCTTTGTACCTCCCTATCCTTTTTAGCCTCCCCTTCATCTACGATCTCATTTCGTAGGGTAAAACATAATAAGTTTTTTTTGCCTAGTAGCCGGCTGGTAGCTTACCGGAACGATGCCTATCCGTTGCTGGTAGCTCAGCTGGCATGCAACTGTTGTATCTATTTTTCCTTTGTGTATTGTATTATATGTATGTATGTATTTCCTTCATGTATTGCAGCACAATAGCGGAGGTGTTTTCCCACCTTTGGCTAACGTGTATAATGATGATATAATGATGGGATTTAATCACGCTACATTAACTAGCGAGGCAAAACATACTCGTTCGTAGGAAGATTTATACTTCTTAAGTTCGGACGTCCAATTTCGACGCTGAAAACTCGGTGTACACACCAAACACGAACGATCCTCCTACAATACCATCATTCATCATCATTACACACAATAGCTAGAGGTGGTGTGCTGCAATACATAAAAAAGGGGAAATGCAACACGTGCAAGCCAGCTGAGCTAGCGGTAACGGATAGGCATCGTTCCGGAAATCTACCACCCGCCAACTATATAGCAAAAAAAACTACTATGCAAAATTATATAATGCTATATAGTGAGATCGTGGTTGGAATGGGAGGCTAAGAGGGATGGGGTGGGACAAAGAAACTCAGCACGAACGCCACTGAGTTCCGCTCCTAGCCATGTCAGCAAGTATATCCAGCCAAACGTGTTCATCATCTTTCGGACCCCAACCAGGAAGCCGTGACGCCCCAACCATGGTCAACTTCGAAGTGAGGGACCTCCTTCCTTTCGACCAAGTCATCGCTTGATCACCTCTCCTCTTCCTTCATCCACACCCCCGGCGCGCAAACAACGCATGTCGCGGAAGTCGGTGGGCTGGCATGCGTAACACGTGGTCGAGTCATCGAAGTCTGGTGCGGGAAATAACGGTGCTGTGCGGTTCATTTCCTTTTCCTGTGCCGTAAACAAGGCGTCGAACACGCTCGTTACGCACGCGGTGTACCCACCAGGGTGTGTGCTAAATTACGAAGGCACCAGTGGTCGAACGTAACTAGCCATTTTATGTCCGTTGATCTGAGGGGCCAGGTTTCACAACCGTACAGTAGGGTCGAACGTACAGCTGCATTGTACACTCCATCCTTCAGGGCGAGAGTGATGTCGCGCCGCCGCCATAAATGGTGAAGGTTAGCGAAAGCGCCTCGAGATTTCGGTATATGGTTCGTGATCTCATCTTCAATCCCACGGGCGCTAATACAACTTCCCAGGTAGTTGAATTTTTGAATGACTTTTAGCTGATCCCCACCAAGGGTCAGCGAAGGAGGCGGTCCAGGCCAAGCTTGGAGGAACGCTAATCTGTCCAGTGCCGTTTGGCACGTTTGTGAGCTGTCACAGATTAGGGCAATATCATCAGCATACTCAAAGTCAAGAAGTCGTTCGCCTTGGAGCAGATCCAGGGATGAGAATCAGGAGACCCGCGAATCATCCATCACACGCTTCCATACAGCGACAGTACTTGACGGTGACGCTGCAAACCCAGCTCTTTAAGGTTGAAAAGGCGGTATTCCGCAAGACATGCTGAATTGGGTGGCTGGTGGAAGTTCTCTGGGGTTCGAAGTAACAGGAGATCCCAGAGAACATCAAGGAGACTCGATAGCTCACGAAGATGGCAACTATTTGCCCATGCCTGGTTATGAGACCATTCCTAAGGTGTGCCAGTCAGCAGTTTAGCTATGGCGAATCCTATTCGAGGGTTTTATTATCGTCCAGTCTCTGAATTTTAATCAGAATGTTATTGCCCTTATTCTAACAAAGTGTGTCAAAACAAGTGGATCAACCGCAATTCGAATCATAGTCAAGGGGCCAAAATGAACTGATTTGTTTCTAAGCATTGAAAAATTGCATCTCATCGTTGTTTGAGTTAGGATAACAAAGCTGAGGTTATTAAAGGTAAATGAACAGGTGGATAAATTCAAAAAGCGGATAAAAGTGATTACAACAGCCGGCTGTCGCCGACTTCATTGGTGTACCATATGTATCATAGTTTGCAACAATTGAGAAGCTGATCCCCAGACCACTGATCTGGAATTCGAACAAGTTGAGTATTGTTAAGAGTGGATTCGTCAAAGGCACTCACAGTGGCGCATCATCTTCGCATTCGAAGAACGTGAAGTCTCGTAAACGCATTTCGGACTCCATTCGTGAACTCCATCGTAAGTGAGGATGTGAGTGCGTGCGGTATATTGACCAAAGTCACAAAGGGCTTGGCGATTGATGTCTCAAAATTGAAACAAAAAGCACGAATATCTACAGATGCAAAGCTGTCATCGCTGAGGAAACCACAACATCGCAAGATACAAATCGGAATGGACACTTAATGAAATGCCAGACGCGACAAACCACACGTGACTAACCGGAGGCCGCAGTGGAACAGATTGCAAACTCTCGTGGTGTTGGATAATCGCTCGACCGTTAGCAACGTCATCCGACTGTAACTTTGTCTTAGCATGAGGACACATTCGAAGATAGTGGGATCCAGAAGCGTAGGAAACAAAAGAGTCCAGTAAATACGAGGCTGAAAAGAATATGGACTTGATTCACTATGAATTAGGTGAAGTGAGAAGCTTACAGCCAACGGATCTCAACTGGAAACTTCGAAAACAGCAAATTCTAGAGAAATGGTGCAGTGATACATGCAAACATGGTACATGCATACGACTGTGCACAAAAAAACCAATTCCTGAAATAGCATGCGAACCGGTGCTGTGGCTACGGAAGGCATGTAGAAACTTGCTTAAAAACCAAACTGCCATTTGCCGCGTTTCGCTCTGACCATCAGATTAGTGTCAGTGACAATGAAAATTTGCTGCAAACTTGGAAAAATCTTTACAGATATATTTCAATTGCTTAGCCAAGCGTTCGGGGAGGACTGTGAGTCGCACGCAGTGCGACAAGCGGATGTAGTATTTTGAAGACAGTAGAATTTCCGTCGGTGACAAGCATAAGCCTGGAGGACTTTCCACATCAACAGACGATGGCCAGGTCGACGACATTCGTGTTGGGATCTTTTGTAATCATCGTCTAACTGCTCGAGAAATTCCTGACGAAGGATCATACCATCAACTTTTCAGTGCCAAACTTGAGATGCGTCGTGTCAGCGCAACATTCGAGCCGCGTTTGTCAAATGACGGTCAGAAACAGAACCGTGTTAAAATCAGCCAGCAACTGCTTGCCAGTTAAAAAGAACGGGTGATGAGACGTTGGTTCATGACTACGATAATGAAACGAAGATGAAGCTTTTGCAAAGGATTAAGAAAAAGTCCCCTAGTCCAAAAAGCAAGTAACAATTGGTTAAGGATAAGTAAGTTGGCCGGTTAGAGAAATCCATGCCTCACAACCGCGGGACCTCATCATGATTACAGAGATCTGGTTAAACCTTGAGATAACCGATTCGGAGATCGATTTATCCGGTATGTCGCTGCTTCAAAACGATAGAACCAGAAGGGGTGGTGGTGTAATTCTTTATTATAATACGAACCGATGTGAAGTTATCGATCACCCGGAAATCCGAGCTCCTGATTCGCTTTGGTGCCGCCTATGGTTGTGAAACAAGGACACATGTCTACTAGCCGTGATGTACCGCCCACCAAACTCAACGTCGGAAATGGACTCCAAACTGAACCACGTCTTTCATTTTGCTTTGAACAAGTCCTACAACTACATTCTTATCATTGGAGACTTTAACATGCACGACATAGAAACGCCAGCAACCGGTGGTAGGCAGTTAAAAGCCTGCTTGCAGGAGCTAATTGCTAGCCACCCTCTGTACAACCAGATAACCACACCCACCAGATTTCTAATTGCTAACAAGCCATCGATACTGGATCTTATGCTCATTAACGAAAAAATCATGGTTGACGGGATAGTTACAAGCACACCACTGCGTCGTAGTGATCATTTTACTCTACTCTTTGACTATATATGCTACTCGGAGTATCCTGAAAATGAGGATGATATAGTGGATACTGTCACGCACTATAATATGTTAGCTACGCTTGTCAAGCATACATCTTGGACTTTCTTAACCGAATACCCCCCAGATGTTGCCTGGGAAACCTTCACAAGGACGTTTAGCACACCGGTAGCGCACGCATCGGAACAGAAGTCCTTCTAACCCAAAAACAAGCATAAGTCATTTCTGAGGAGTAGAACAAGTAAATGTATGTCCCGGAGGGATTTGGCATGGCGAGATCACAAGGACTGCTCGAATGCCAATACCTGGACTGCATTGTGACACATGGTAACTTCTGTCTGAAACTGATCCGCGAAGACAAGGTCACACATCAGTAGGAGTTAATGAAGCGATTCTGCACTAACCGCAAACTTCTGTACAAGGACGTTAACGGCCTTCGAAAGGTGAAGCGGGGGATTCCAGCTCTAGTCACGGCTGATGGATGCACGCGATCAGCAATAGAAGCAGCTGATCTCCTATAGCTTCATTACTCCCAAACATTCCAGCAGGTAACCAGCCGAAATATTTTCCTCGTTTCTATCACTCCACCATCGGATTTAGTCAACAGCACTTTCACTGCGGAAGCTGTGTTGAAGAAGTTGTTATCCTTGCGTATCCACAGCTCTCCTGGAGTCGACAAAATTCGACCAAAGGCTCTGCAGGCAGTAGCTAGTGATCTAGCAGAACCACTGGCTGTTTTCTATCCGCGATGTCTAGAAGAGAACCATATTGCACCAGTATGGAAGCGAGGAATCATCACACCTATACATGAAGGAGGTAGCCACATTGACCCTACCGACTACCGTCCAATAACACTACTTCTTGTACTATCCAAAATGATGGAATCAATCACCACAGATGCGCTGATGCAGTATCTGGAAAGCCACAACTTATTAGCCTCAGAGCAGCATGGCTTTCGTCAGAAGCGTTCACGTAGTGTCGACGTAATTACTTTTCCCTTCGGGTTTGCCAACCTTGGAACGCATTCCCAGATTCAGTTATATCATCCCCTAACCTGGACGTTCTCAAAAAAACGATTAGATGTTGCTCTTAGCTCCCAACACTTTGTTACCTAAACCCCTCAATTGTGGATTACGCCAAGCATGCTTTTCAACAGGATGTATGTATCAAATGGACCCAAATGAGCGAGCAAAGTTTACTTTTCTCACGCCTTATATCAACGATCACTGCACCCCAGTGTACTTCTAAAGGTTTAAGCTCGACTTTTTTAATTTTACGCTGATGTTATTTATCAAAGTATTCATCTCGGCAGACGACCCACATATATTCTGATTTCATCGTATCCACCCAACCATCCTACGTGACGTGTCAAGCACTTGCTTTTATCCATTGAAAAATCATTGTTTATTGTAATTGTTTTTTTACTACAAAGGCAATATATCTCAGGAATTTGTGCTACGTGGTCAAATGGTAAACGAGGAAGTCTCCCAGCAAATTCTAGCGCATTTGTGGGATGATGTGTGTAGCAAGAGGCCTTAACTATAGGAAAACCAGACATGGATATTGAATTATGGCAATGCGGCGGTTCGCACATCGCTCCTTGTACGCAGATATCTAGCAAAATACCAAACGACTACCGTGCTTCATCCATCGTATTCTGTGGACATAGCCAAAGCGGACTTACTCCAGTATATTTTACAATCTAAACCTAGTCAAAATGACGTCGTATATGAACTATATAGAAGATTCAGGACAACCCGACGAGAAACTTAGGCGCCATCCCAGAAACTGCACTCCAGGAGGCTTTCCAAAAATGAAAGCACCGTTGACAACGGCATATTGCCAGTAGAGGGGACTCCTTTGAAGGGGAAGTGCCTATAAATTGTACAATGAGCAAAAGGAATGTGGCAAAAGTTGAGTTCCTTGTTGAAAACATTATATATATATATATATATATATATATATATATATATATATATATATATATATATATATATATATATATATATATATGGCTGGCGGCATCCGGTTTCGGATTTGCCTGTCACTGTGGCAAGCCACAGGACGCCTGCGCCTACAGAGGGACCATGGATGGCTTGCGCTGCACCACCCACAGCTCCAACCACACACCCCATATCCAGTGTAAACCCGAAGGAATAAGACCGGGAGGCATGCGGATGGGAACCACGTTTCATCAACGGAGCCGGCCCACACTCCTTCACAGACAAACACAAGCACGCTGTATTTGGGGAATCAAGCGCACACAAGGCGGTGGCTGGACCGTAGTCCGCTCCACACTGAGTCTATGGAACCGCTCTTTGAGCCTAGCACGGCCACAAGAACCGTGCACCCCGTCCCCTCCAACAACGACCAACTGTCTCCTGGAGCCAGTATGAACGATGTAGTGGGTAATAGACAGGTAGGCACCTTGTCAACATACACATCAAGTGCAGCCACACCGGGGATATCAAACAACAGCCATTCACTTTAAACGACAAGCTGAAATAAAATAAATCCAACAATGCATATAGATGCGGTGGCATAACTCTTCCCTAAATTACCATATGAAGTAAGCTGGTTAACAACAAATCCGTGATAAGTAAGAAATGTCCACAAGTTACTTAAAATGCTACAAACGCAACAAAATTACCGAAGATAACCGCAATAAGTGTAAGCAACGTGGCCAGTTAATAGAACATTATTCAGGGAGGCAGAACAAACCAAATAAAGCGGAATGAAATTTATCCAGCTTAAAAAGACCTAGTTTAAGTGTAAGTTGGTTTAGCCCAACTGCGGTGAAGAAGCATCAAGAATGCAACATCAGCCTCAGCATGGGGCACATACATACATACATGCCGAGTTCGCACTTAGTCGGGTTGACTGTGACGCCGTGTTGGGTCAATCGCTGGAAGAGAGTTCCAAGATGCTCGAGATGCTCTTGTTCCGATGAACTGGCCACTAAAATATCGTCGAGGTTGGAATAGGCGAGGTCTAGGCCACGAGTGACCTCGTGGATGAGCGTTGGAAGGTTTGTGCGGAGTTGCACAGTCCAAATGGCATGCATAAAAATTCAAACAAACCGAAAGTAGTGATGACGGCTGTTTTAGGAATGTCATTGTCTTCCACAGGTATCTGGTGATAAGCGTGAACCAGATCGATCTATATATATGGTTGGCGGCATCCGGTTTCGGATTTGCCTGTCACTGTGGCAAGCCACAGGACGCCTGCGCCTACAGAGGGACCATGGATGGCTTGCGCTGCACCACCCACAGCTCCAACCACACACCCCATATCCAGTGTAAACCCGAAGGAATAAGACCGGGAGGCATGCGGATGGGAACCACGTTTCATCAACGGAGCCGGCCCACACTCCTTCACAGGTAAACACAAGCACGCTGTATTTGGGGAATCCGGCACACACACAAGGCGCTGGCTGGACCGTAGTCCACTCCACACTGAGTCCATGGAACCGCTCTTTGAGCCTAGCACGGCCACAAGAACCGTGCACCCCGTCCCCTCCAACAACGACCAACTGTCTCCTGGAGCCAGTATGAACGATGTAGTGGGTAATAGACAGGTAGGCACATTGTCAACATACACAT